GTTTATACAGACCTTTTTTTACATGAGAAAATGTGCAGAGGATCGAGACCCTTTAAGTGTTTGGACAGTGAAATAAAGCTTTATATGGAGGTCAGACTGTGTTTCTCATCAAGTGAGCCAAAAAGGATTGAGATTCCATAAGCAAATTGTCATATGAAGATCAGAGCTGTATAAACACCAGGCACTCCACATAAGTTTCACACAAATACCAAACAAAGTTTCCACATGGGGCAGAGAACCTGTGAGTGACTGGGCTGTGGGGAAACTTTCATAGGGACGTCACGCTGTCGTAAGCGTCAGGCAATCCACACATGGGAAAACCCAAATGGGCTTGGCCTGTGAGTAAAGCTTCATGCCTAGGTCAGGTCTTGTGAAATATCAGTCACTCTACGCAAGAGTTTGACTCTGAGGCTATGTCTACACTTGCAGCTTCTTGCGCGAGTAATATACAAATTTTTTTTTTTTCCAGAAGAGGCTCTTGCCTAAGAAGGAGCGTCTACACTGCCCCTTCTTGCTCAAGAAAAACCCTTTTGTGCAATGCCGGTACACCTATTACTTTTCAGGAAGAACGGCATTGCACAAGGGCGTTTGGGGCAGTGTAGATGTTCTTTCTTGCACAAGAACCTCTTCTGAAAAAAAAAAAAAGTGGCTCATTAGGTATGCAAATGAGGCTCGGCGATATTCCACGCTTAGCCTTATTTGCATATTACTTGTGCAAGAAGCCACAAATGTAGACATTGCCTGAGAACGCTTGGGCTGTGGGAACAGTTTCAGAAACGGGTCAGCCCTTCTCAACATCAGGCTGTCCACACTGGAGAGAGAACCTGTAAGTGCTTAGACTGTGGGAGACATTTCAAAAACTGATCTGACCTTTGTTTTACAGCAGAAAATTCACACTAGTGTGAGACTCCCTAACTGCTTCGACTTTTGAAAAAATGTCACACAAAGATCATATATTGTAACACAGCAGGTAATCTGCACAGGAAGGAGACTTCCTCAGTGCTTGGAGTGTGGGAAAAGTTTCAAAATCAGATCGGCCCGTGTTTTTTATCAATGAATCCATACGTGGGAGAGACTCCATGGCTGCGTCTAGACTGGTAAGATTTTGTGCAAATAGTTTTAACGGAAATGTTTTTCCGTTAAAAATATTTGCGCAAGAGAGCATCTATACTGGCATGTGCCTTCGCGCAAAAGATTTGCAAAAGCATCCATACCAGTGTAGACATTCTCTTGCGCAAGAAAGCTCCAATGTCCATTTTAGCCATCGGGCTTTCTTGCGCAAGAAATTAATGTAGCTGTCTACACTGGCCCTCTTGCGCAAGAATACTTGCACAAGAAGGCTTATCCCTGAGCGGGAGCGTTGAAGTATTTGCACAAGAACCACTGATTTTGTACATTACAAAGTCAGTGTTCTTGTGCAAATACTCACGGCCAGTGTAGACATGTGGCAAGATTTTGCACAAAAGCAGCCGCTTTTGCACAAAATCATGCCAATCTAGATGCAGCCCATAAGTGCTTCGACTGGAAAAGAGGCACCCAGAGATCATTAAACCAGGAAGAAACAACACTAAATCTAAACTTTCTGACATGGTCAAAAAGGGGTAAGAAGCTTGGAGGATAATTGACTCAGATTCAGCCTTTAGAAACTTGTTAAACAGGAGTTCAAATGGTATTTGAAGACATTCCACGGTAGACAGATGCAAAATTTTGACATTAAAACTTGTTAAAAAATTGGCAGACGATTGCAATACTGTTGATTAATTGCAAGATCATTCACATGATTAGCTCAAAAATTGATCATAGAGAATTTAAATCCTAATGAATTGCATTGTTACGCAATAGAATACGAATTGGAATTCAGATATTTTGGTTTGTTTTCTATGTGTTCAAATACATTGATTTCTATTACAGCAAAGAACAGAAAGGGTGTAGGGCTCACATTTGTATTTATTACTAATATTTACACTGTAAACAGGATAAGCAAAAGAAATCGTGTCTTTTAAATTCACCTCATATAAGTACAGCAGTGCAATCTTTTTGTCATGAATGTGTCATTTTAAAATATCCATTATTTTTGTTACACAGCCTCAGTGCACTCCTTCAGGATGCTTGTTTCTTGGTCCATCTCCATGGTTCCTTTGGCTGCTCGAGGGATGTCTCCCAGTTCTTCATGAAGACCGAGGATGTGGGGATATTTCTTTTCAATTCTAGCAGTGAGTTAGTGCCAAAGAGTGATGTTCTTGTCAATACTGGACTCTGTGTCTGTAACCTTGTGTAGGCTGGGGATTTTAAACCAAAAGGAATTGCCTCTCTGGCCTTCATTCATGTGGAGTCCAGCTCACTCAGCAAACTTCTTTGTGAAGGAAGGGGATTGCAGCCTTTGACAGCGATTTCTCCTGCCGATTTTGAAGAGGAACTTGCCAGCCTTGGCCATGTGATCCAATTCATGTTTATGCTCAAGACGCCCAGTGTTCCTATTCTCAGGAACGAATTTCAGGAGCTGCTCTAGAATATCTTATAGCAGGTCCTCTTTTACATCCCTGGTTAACACTGCATGTTGGATTTCATCATTTGATCACTGCAGCCCGGAGAGTGGAATATTGCAGTTCTGAGCCCTCTGGCCTTCTGTTCAGGAAGCTTAAGAACATAAGAACAGACAGACTGGGTCAGACTAAAGGTCCATCTAGCCCAGTATCCTGTCTGCTGACAGTGGCCAATGCCTGATGCCCCACAGGTAATCCTCACGTGATCCCTCTCCTGTCACCCATTTACAAACAAACAGGCTACGTCTACACTGGCATGATTTTCCGGAAATGCTTATTTTCCAGAAAAAGCAGAGTCGGCCTGTGGAACTCCTTGCCAGAGGATGTTGTGAAAGCCAGGACTTTAACAGAGTTCAAAAAAGAGCTAGATACATTCAAAGTCCATCGATTGCTATTAGCCAAGATGGGCAGGGATGGTGTCTGCTAGCCTCTGTTTATCAGAGCTGGGAATGGGTGACAGGTAACAGATCACTTCTGTTCAATCCCTCTGGGGCATCTGGTATTGGACACTTTTGGGAGACAGGACACTGGGCTAGGTGGACCTTTGTTCTGACTCAGCCTGGCCATTTTCACGTTCCTACATAGGTACACTCAAAATTAAAGCAGTGTAAACTTTAGTACCTAGAACTCTACTAAGTTGTTGTTCTTGCAGATCTGACAAAATGCAAAGAAGGGTACAACTGTTAGATTTCTAAGGGAGCTACTACATTGAGGCTCCCGATTAACTACAAATACCAACAACAAGCAATATAAAAATTAACATTTAACACAACAGCATTGGCTAGTCTATGCTAATTTCTTCCTATGAGACAGACCAATATTCATGAAATCACCACAGAGCCAATAAAATCTTCATCTCTACATTCAACAGGCAGCACATCCCCTTAGTTGTTCTCTGGGACCGTGTTCATTCCCCTTGCACATCAGAGCCTGGGGTAGATTTTGTGTGCTCCTGCCTGTGGTGGGGGGAGAGAGGCTACATCTTTACTTTTTAATTTGAAAAGCCCAAATTTGGACTTTTGGGAAAAGCAAAGAAGAAATTGGCAACGTGAACGGTGGAAAAGGAAGTGAATGGTGAGCTCAAACCATGTAGCTTCAAGACAAGTGAAGCAAGTGCTGTGAAAAGTTTCAACTTTTGGCGGCATGTAAAACGTAACCATCCTGAAAACTATGCAGCTCTGGTTACAAGAAGATGAGGCAAAACAGAAAGCTGAAGCGGCTAAATGACGTTCATTATTGGTCATGGATGCTTTTCCGCAAAAGATGCTTTTGTGGAAAAGCACCCGTGCCAATCTAGAGGCTCTTTTTCAAAAATGCTTTTAACGGAAAACTTTTCCGTTAAAAGCATTTCCGGAAAATCATGCCAGTCTAGACGTAACCCACATATCTGACCTGCAGTGTCCCTTCAGCAGCCCCAGGGCCAGACACAACTCCTGAGACACATGCAAAACAGAGTGAGAACTGCCTTTACAGGGCAGGATTAAAACCTGCTGAGGCCCTAAACTCCTTCACGTTGAAGTGGCCCCATGGCAGTGCCCAGAAGTAAAATGTATTTTTTAAAATGTATTTATATATTTATTTATTTTGTGTTTAGAGGCCCCTCGAAATCCGAGGAGTGGGGAACCTGTTTTGGGTCAGGGGCCACCCACAAGTGAGAAGCAAGAAACCAAATCCCAACCCAACTGAGGAGAAAGACGCTCCCCACATTCCCCTTGCACATCAGAGCCTGGGGTAGATTTTGTGTGCTCCTGCCTGTGGTGGGGGGAGAGAGGCTGGCTCCCCAATGCTGGGGGTAGCCCTGAATTTGGTGGCCGGGTCCAGGAAAACCAGGGGCCACATCTGGCCACGAGAAATGAGATTCCCCACCCTGCAGCGGTAGCTTGCTTAGCTTGTGCCTAAAGCCAGCTCTAAGCCTTTACATCCCGGAGATGCTGTTTGTGCTTCCCGGGTGCCCACAGAGTGCAGGCCGTATTGGGTCAGGCCAAAGGTCTATCTAGCCCAGTGTCCTGTCTGCCAACCTTGGTCAACACCAGACGATCCAGAGGGAGTAAACAGTGGGGCTAAGTATTTCCTTTAACCAGGAGAGTGGGGAAGCTTTTTTGGGTCATGGACCACCGACCCACAGAAAAATCAGTTGGGGGCTGCACACAAGTGAGAAGCAAAAAGAAAGAAAAAACAACCCTCCCCCCCAAAAACCCCAACAAAAGCAAAAAAAACCCTGTAACTGAGGTGTCCACGAATGACCCTCTCGCACATCACACCTTTGTGGGCCCAGTCAAAGGATCCAGCCCCTGCGACTAGGTTCCCCGCCCCTGCAGCCCTTCCCATTTTCCGTACGTTTTTTTTTTCCATAAGTTTAGTAAATGGCACTGAGTCTAAGCTCTGGGCAGGGAAGGGGCTGGCACAGAGGGAGCTGGTGCGGGTGGGGACCTTAGCCCCTGTCTACGTGATCACAACCAGTCTGGACTTCGAGCCCCCTGGAACCCTCGGCCCCGCCTTAGGCCCCGAAGCTGCGCCTCCCGCTCCCGAGGGGTCTGTGAGCGGGGCAGAGCCACGCGCAGGG